AAAAAAAAAAAAAAACACCGAAAGACTGTAGTAGACTACGCCATGCCATACTGGCCCGAACGCACGACACCCACACCGGAGACAGGAGACGTTGCCATGTGGTCGTAGGAGGCGTCAAAGCCGAGAACCTGGGCTGCAGCATTGAGCACACAGATTCCTACCGTGTTTTCCCCGTGGCTCCGTGCTCTTGCTTTTGGGGCACGGGTGCACCCGAGCCAGGCTCGGGTTTAGGGGCCCAACGTGACTTCCAGCGGCACTCGGGCCTCGAGACGATTCTGCGTGAAGGACGACGAAACCGGCCACTACAACGACGACTACTTCTTCTGCTCCGGCTACCACTACCACCGCCGCAATCGCCACTACCGCTACCACCACCACGACAGTGCTACTGCTTCTGCTGCTACTGCTGCTGCTACTGCTGCTGGCGCTGGCGCTGCTACTACTGCTGTTTCTCCTCCTCCTGTACTGTACTCCGCAAGCCCGAAGCCCGAAACTCTAAATTCCTAGACTCCTAGACGCTCAAAATCGCTCATGCCCTGTCCTAAACATCCCGATACCCTGAAAAACCATCACTGAGCTCCTTGACTCTGAACCCCGCCTTGCCTAAGCACATCGTACCGAATCGTACCGCGAAGCTGCCCCATCTTCGTGGAAGTCCCGCTTCTCCCCGCGCACGACCAGGGAGCTCCACCTGCTCTGAGAATTCGGCCTTTCTTGTTTGAGGTTCAGGACTGATGCTGTCAGACGTTGTAAAGGCAATTCCTGGCACCTCTGCTACAGCCGGTGGACTTGCACTGTCTGGATTGCAAACGAACACAGATGTGCGTGAGTGGATGATAAGCTTGGAAAATGCTTTTCTGGAGCCTGGACAATGGTCAAAAGTGAACTTTGCCCAATGGGCCGTCTTATCGTGACGCAAGCTGTAGCTGCTGTCCTGAAGTCACGCTGGCATTCAGAATCTAGAGGGCTCACCACGCACGAACCCTTCAACAAAGGCCCTGAAGTTTAAGAGCCAGTACTTCAGGTTTCGGGTCCCAAACCGAAGAATAGCAAACTCACGGACCTCCCGCCAGTAAGCGGCATCAGCAAAGCGACTCGAGCATTGGTCCCATCGTTATGCAGCGCGAAGAATTTCTCGCCGGGAGGGAGACCGAAGAGAGCAACCTGCAGCAGACCCCCTGTCATTTTGCTGCTGCAGTCATCATCGGACGCCCTACCACTGCCAAAGGGCATGCTTGCATGTACAGAAACAGACACTAATTATAGCAGCTGTTGACCAGCGGCAAAGATGCTGCAATGGGGCTATGTACTCGCGATTGCATTCGGCAGGAATAGCTCGTGTCTGTATAGTCTATCATGATTGGCAGTATTGGTATCTCCATGGTATATTGCCCTGGCTTAAAGACGTCAAAACTGACAGTACATTGAAAAGTCACTCTTATTGCTGCTGTTCTATTCACACTCACACTCATGCTCACACTCATATTAGTCTTGCAACTTGCATCGCACAGTCTTCCTGCTCCTACCCAACCACCTCCTCCACCTGTTTTTCCTCCTCATCCTCCTGCTCCTCCTACTCCTGCTATCACTAGCCACTACCACTATCACGACCAACACTAGGAAATGCCAATACTATGACGACGACGATGACTCCTGCGAGGACGACTGCGTAATTACTACAACAGTCTGAAACCCATGTTGCTGGTTGCTGCGTTTTCTACTGTGATAGCCGGAATCAAGCGCCCGCCGCCGTTTCGTCTCGTTCCGACCTCCAAAACCTCCAGAGTTGCAGAGCGTCCTACGTGTCTGCGCCCTGCCCTGAGCATCCCCGTTTTGCCAACGCCATCACGAAAATGGTTCCAGGGGCGGTTGGGGACAACCAACGATAACAACAACAGCAGTGCGCGTGAGCCAACGCAGTGCAACCAGCACCAGCATTGCAACAAACCATGTCAAGACATCTCAACCAACAAGGACGCACCTCTTCTTGAAGATAGGCCGCCAGCTTCGAGGACTTCGCATAGGGAATGTGGGCTCGAAGCACATTGCAAAGTGTCGGCATCAGCCTGCAACGTTCCTGAACCCAGCCATCCACAGCAGACCATACGTCCCAGCACCACCATCCTTCCCTGCCGCTGTACCTTGTCGCATCTCAAGCTTCTGGGGCTCTGGATTTGGGTTTTGGTCGTGGGCTTTGGCTTTGCTTTAGGGTGTCGGGTTAGGGCTTGCGGCCTGCCCTAGCCGCATATCGCATGCTGGTCAGGTATGACCCCATGTAAACGAGATAACACATTAAGTAGTGCATTGCACAGCATCACCACGAGCTCGTAATGTAAAAGCTGTACTAACAAAGGCTGCATTAAAACGCATTATGACAGCACTAATTGAACATCCACTACCTGAAGCTGCGACAGCGCCTCTCTATGTAATCCAGTGCAAGCGCATGGCAGAAAATTTGCTCCAGAAGTTCTGGTCAAGACATACAGCATGGGCTACGAACGCTTAGTTAAGGCAACAGCGCAGGTGCTCAGCATGTCCGATGGCGGCAGCCAGGGGTGATATCGAAGCATTTGCTATCAGTTGGTGCTGGTCTGGCGCCAAAACTTTACGCCTTCAAGCAGTGTACTGTAAGTCCAAGTTACTCCTGCTCCTCCAGAGTCAGCTTTCCACCCCGCTGGCTGTAGGATTCTAGAAACTCCGCCTTCGCCAATCAACAGCGCAGAATAGCTGAGTGGCGCGTGTCATGGTGACTCAGACTACCAGTAGATCAGTAGATCGCTGATGATGAAGCCCGTCTTGATAACCTGCGAGGGAAAAACGATGACGAGACATTGAAGAATAAGAATAACTTAGTGGGACGGCGATGAAGGTGTTGACACTGACGGTGGTGGTGATGGTGGTGATGATGATGATGATGTGGTGATGGTGATCATGGTGACGGTGGTGGTACTCGTGCGGCGACTTGACCGTCATACTTTTTCCGGCTATGACGATGTGGAGCTTCCCGAGCAACAAAAACCTTGTTTGGAACAATCCTGTAGGAAGCTGTATCAGAAGTCGATGGAAATAGCGGTTCCGCATCAACCAGGAAACCCTGCCTTGATGGCCGAGAAGTGGTGGCGCATATCTTGCACCAACTGAGGGTAGTCCTCCTCACCATACCACACCTAAGCGTGTCCCGTGATTTGCAAGTTTAGGGTTTCAAGGGCCGAAGCCGGGAGAGACGTCTGACGTCACAAAGAGCTTCGATCCGCACATGATGGAGTTCCTCGCCGCGGAGAGACTCGACACCCTTGACCCCGAGAACTCAAATTCTAGGCACCAACCCCCGCAATCCACAGCCATACAAGCCGCCTGTCGCCGAAGGGTGGGGTAGAAGAGCATGGGCGTTTGGTGGAAGTCTCGCCAAGCAAAAAGATCCTTGACTTTGCTCCACTGTGGGGTCCGGAGGTCCGACAAAAAGGGAGACAGGTGTTTGGATTCCGTCAGGTTGGATTTCGGATGCAGGGATGGACTCCTGGGGACCGCTTATCAAAACCGCTCTGGGAGCCTTCTGCCTCAGGCATTCCTGTGCCTTGCGTGCAAGTTACTTTCGGGGGGGGGGGGGGGGGG